GAGAGAGAGTGAGAGAGAGAGAGACAACATTAGACTAGATGTGAGATGATATGATAGATACAGTTAGCTAGATAGCTACCAGTAGCTAGCGCACTAGTAGGTAGGCAGGCAGGCAGGTAGGTGCGCAGAAAGATAGATAGATATTCACAGACACACGCACACCCTTTCATCTTTCTATGTAAGGACTTTTGGGCACTTGCACTCGAGCAACGTCAGGCGAGGTTTGGGGGACTTAGAAGTATCAGGGTTCTTTGTTTCTTGAGGGTTTGGGTCAGAGAAGCGAGGCTTCTAGCAATGTCAACAGTCAGACTCTCAAGGTATCGGTTCAAAATTCGTGTGCGAGGGCATTTGTCCAATCAGCAACTTTTTCAATGGCATGTGCACAGAGGCGACGGGTCAGTGGCAGAAACAGATCAGAATGCTAAAGAAGCGCTCGCTTGTCCGACCAACGTCCACGTCATCGCTTCTGATTCTGAATTGAGAGCATGCCCATGCCTAATGGCATCTCGACATGAGCAACCGTACAGATACTGACCGGTGCAAAGCCCGGCAGAGCCACAGAAGGTGCCTGTCCATGACAGTCTGCACCAATCGAAAACCACATCTTCACATGCCACACTGTTCTGCTGATGCTGATATCACGCATGCATCACGGATGTGCAGACCAGCACTTTGGGTCAGGCAGCCCGTGGTCTTTTCGCCGAGACTGTCAGCAAGCGCGGATTTGTTTCGTTGAGGGTGAGACGAGAGAAAAGGAAGTTTGCATCCCTGTGGCAATCCACGGCTCTCTTGCCGGCAAATATGACCTGTGGAGGCTGCTTTGCGCGTCACTCCCGCGGAGGTTGCAAAAAATCGTATCAGAAATCTGCCCTCTAGGCCAGGTAAACAGCAATGAAACGAGCAAAAACAACGCAGCAGAGTGACCAACATGGGAAACCTCCTCCCATGCGACACCGATGTCAATGTCAATCACATGCCTGCACTGGCTTTGGTGACGGCAGTGGCCAAGCATTCCATTCATGTACATGCAGCAACAGGCACGACCAAAAAAGAAGACACAGTCGGGCTAATCGGCTAATACTACTCATATCTTCGTGCGTGATGCCAGCAAAGGATGCTTGTCAAAAGATCAGGGGAAGAATGACAGCCGTGACCGACAAAAGGAACTGTCCATGTTACGTTGCTGGGGCTTCGAAGGCAAGAACACGAGGCCGCACTTCTTGTTCATCACATCGGAAGGACATGCCTGCATGATGAGGGCGTGGAGCGAGGACCGAAAGTTTGGCAGCGGCGCCTGCAACTCGAGACATGCTTCCCATGAGAGACGAATGTTATTTGGCCTGGATGGTCAGTGTCCGACAAGGCATTGGGTCCGTGATGGTGATTGAGCTGGACACCTGTTGTCGATCGCAAGTCAGTGCAACCCCTCGGAAAATGCTCGAAGGCCTCCAAACTGCAGTAGTGCTGGAGCTGCATGAGGTCAACCTGGCGAGCAGCCAACGGCCGTCCCCCAACAGAATGAATGCTTGTTGCCGCCGGTACAAGGATGCAAAGGGATGGTAGTCAAAAACTAGAGGCGGCAAGTGGGGACCAAATGGTCATGAGCAATCCATGGAATTACGAGTGTCGTGCAAGCCTTGAGCGACAATCAAAGCAAGAGTTGTGAAAGCTGAACATGAAGCGCGAAGACTTTGTCAGAATCCTATTAGCAAGCGACCTTCCACATTCTACTCTCCGGCAGGAGCAGATTCACGCAAAGGGTGTCCTCAGGGATCAGCTAACTCTTGAGAGTTTGTCCGAACGATGCGTGCTACAGTATATCTTCCATAAAACACATTAAAGGCCGTATACTACTCAAGTAGATTACTGGCTCGCCCCTGCACGCTCATTCGACACTGGGATCCTCCGCTCCGTTGCCATCCTCCTCTCGTAGCGTGGCTAGCGCTCCAATCGCATCGACTACCTTAGACCAGACAGTCCCAGAAGGCACGATGCTAGGATGCCTGGCCTCCGCGCACACCATCTCTTGGCAGGCGATCCCGAGGCATGGCTGCACCAGCCCGAGATGGTGAACGGCGTGACATGGTGTGATCGTTCCCTCTCAAGACAACTAAACTCCTGGCCGATCTATCTTGGGCGACAAGGGAGAGCCCCCCGCGAGTTCAACTGTCTCTCGAGGCATGTGGCTGCCTGTGGACGGCCCCATATCTCGAACAGCAGGAAGGGTAGATCACCTTAACTGGTCGGTCAAGAAGACGAAAACTAAATCGAGCTTCGCAATGACGAGGGCGAAAGGTCAGAAGCTTCTGACTGATCAGCTTTCTGCTTGAGGCGGTGAAACATAAGGCTGTTTAGAATGTTTTACTTCAGGGTCTGGTCGCTGCTGCCGCCGTCCGGCTGGCACCATTGATACGCACGGATCGTTACCTCAGTCCAGACGCGTGACATGAAACCAGGCTTCTGAGACTTTCCCGCAGTCTTGAATGTCTTGCGGCTCCAACTTGTCAGGACAGGAGCCTGCCAAGCATCCACTCCCTACTACGACCTCCAAACTACTGACTACTAACTACTACAGCTACTACAACTATCACTAGCACGAGCACTACCACTCCTACTGCTACTGCTACGAGCACCCCTACTACTCCTACTACTACTACTACTACTACTACTCCTATTGCTACTGCTACTGCTGCTGCTACTGCTACTGCTACTGCTGCTGCTACTGCTACTGCTACTGCCACTGCTACTACTCCTGCTGCTGCTTCTGCTACTACTGCTGCTACTACTGCTGCTGCTACTACTACTACTACTACTACTCCTACTGCTACTGCTCCTGCTCCTGCTCCTGCTCCTGCTCCTGCTCCTGCTCCTGCTCCTGCTCCTGTTGCTGCTGCTGCTGCTGCTGCTACTACGACTGCTGCTGGTGCTGCTGCTGCTGCGACAACGACGACTAAGCTTGGCAAGCAGCGGATGCCAGCCTGAAAGACATTCTGTCAGACCAACTTGAGTAGCCGCACCCATGATGCTTTCAGAAGTCACGTTGCTTGCGACTTCTGCTCGAAGTCAGCCAGCCTCTCGCCAGTCTCGCCGAACATCGCCTCCCAATAAAATGCTGAAGCTGTGGTTACCCTCCATATGGTGTCTGGCTGCCCAGCCTGTGCTTGCTTCCAAGACAATGTGACGCGCAACACCTTCCGCGCTGCGCATTCTTCGGCTCCGAGGCCTTGGCCTGAGCTGGAGGACCCCTTTCTGTCGCTGGAAGCTACATGGTGACACATGGACTTAGGAGTGAGATTGAACTAGGTCTCCGTACCATCATAATACAAGAAGAACTCCACCATAGCACCGGCCACAAGGTTCCTCCACTTGGGCACCAGGTCCTTTCCAAAGAGAACGGACTCCGACCGGGGAAACTTTCTACGGTGAACAGATGGCTACCCCCCCCCCCCTATCTGGCGTCCTCTCCATGGACGAAGATGTGACCTGTGACAAGTGCACCAGCGCAGTTTCTGATCATCGGCCCTGTCGTTGCTGTGCCCATACTGACCCGCCTTGGTGCTTCACGATCTCAGGATGATCGATGGGGCAGTCCGGCTCAATCCAGCCGTGTGTCTTCTTCCATTCCACAACACGGCCAACCTCTTTTGATGGCTTGCCCGGCCCGTGCGTGTTCAACAGTTGCCACTCGAGTTTCAACATGAAGCTACAGTAGCAGGTAGCTGGCAGCAATTCCACAAGCTGAGATAGATAGACTAGCATGACAGCGGCCCCTCGTCTACTATTCAAATCAATGATGCCTTCGAACAAGCACCTTGGTCTTCTCGGGCTAGTCAAAGCTGAGCTGTGACACAAGTGCCTGTTCGCATGTACATACATCCGAAAATATCGGGTCTATGTTTTGAAAATCGATTCAATTCAATTTCCAAATCCTCAGGCTTTACAGACATAACGATCCCTTCAAGGTCAACATCAAGTCTTCAACAAGGACGGAAGAATTATGAAGCACGAGTTCCGGGAAGCAGTCAAACTTGCTCATAGTGCCATTCAAGCGACGATCGGAGCACCGCTCAAACGACTTCTTCGAAAGTCTCCCATTGCCGCAAAGCATTTGTTCAACTCTGAGCCGACAGGTCGGAGGAGTGCTGTGATAGCTGCAGTTCCCGTACTCCAGAGAGTCCAGGGGTGTTTTGAGGATGCTAGGCAAGCTACCAGGCTGTGCATGACCTCTCGACAGGGTCTCGCCATGGTCGGCAGCAGACACACTGACGGCAAACTCAGATTGGCATCTACACGATGGCCTCTTCACCTACCGCCACGATTTGACAATCACCAATGTTGACATTGCTGCACGGAACCAGCTCTGTGAGCCCGCGCTCTAGAATTTTAGGTCTTTAGGTGCTGGGGATAGAAGAGTCTACACCACGAAAGCCGCAGTGGCTGAAATACTGTGGACACTGGGAGTCCGAACGTCGTGCCCGTGTTGAGCACGTCGGAGCTCCTCCTCCAGAATTTGCCTGGATCAACACTGCTCACAACGTCTTAGCAGGCAAGGCGATCGTCTCTTGCTTAGACCTGCGCTGGTATTGCGTTGCACAAATGCGCATGTGTGTGAGGCGGGAATTCTTTATGGCTCATTGTACTTTGTACCTCTTCTGAGTTCGCCACTCCTCTGCAGGCCAAGGTTGGTCCTGAAGCCGCACCCAGGAGCTCCATGAACGCTCTGGGCCAACAAATATACCAAACCAAGCCGGCCCAACGAATTGTTTGGGGTAAACACGGCACTTGAAACAGGGTGCTGGCTTCATCTGCGAGGCCCCGCAGCAACCCTCGAAACACCGATTCATGTTACCGTTGCACATTGCAGTCGCAGAAGTCTCCGTAAAGGATTCCCTTCTCACTGTCCCTGCTGGCTGCAGGGGTGCCTCTTCCAGGGGTCGCTTGCGCTTTGAGCGAGAGCGGCTCCTTGTGACTTCAACAGACGCAGAGCACCAGCAAAACAAACAAAGCGGAGGTGACCCAAATCTCAAACCCCCATCCCTTGGTCGGAAAGGTGTCGAACAAGAAGTAAACTTTAGATCCGGGGATCCCGTCTAGATCATACATAAAATCATCCACGTCAGCACGAGTCCAAGAATCGCGTCGCTAGGGCCCGGACTTGTTTCCCTCCAGGGCTTCGCGAACCTCGAAGCGGGCCGGACGAGAAGAGCAAACAGGGAGCATCGCGATCCCTGCAAGGGCTGGGAGATTAGCATCCCTGTGGCAAAAGCCAGGGGCATCACGAGAAGCAAAAATCTCTCAGCAGCTTGAAATGAAAGGTCGAGACAACCTAACACCACCTTGAGCGGAGCCACTCCACCAGATGATCACATAGAGGGGAGGAACCACAAGAACTGCGATGCAGCGAGGCCTAACCCCGCAGACACAATATGACACAATCCTCCTACTCAAGGATCCCAGAGCTGCAACCTCTTGGGCTTCTCTTGCTCGTTCCTGCTCTCGCAGGTCCTGCAACAAAGAGAGGCAGCTACTTAGTAGGGAAAGGAGGCCTATGGGCCTAGGGGCGTGCTCTGATGCACAACTCTCGCCACTCGTTCTTGGAGACGCGAAGACTCTCCTCGATGGCCAGCTGCGAGCGCTCCCACCCTGGCATCAGCACAGTAGGGTTTTGGTGTTTTGGTCCAGCGATTATGCCTGATAAATCCAGAAATTTAGCCATCATGGCCATTTGACAATGGGGGCCCTTGCAGCAAAAGGCTCACGGCACTGCCTTCGAGTTGGCGGTGCCAGTCCGCAATCTCTGCCCACCTCTGTCGGGTGTGGACTATCGGCCAGCACCAAAAAAAACTACGTGACATGGAACGATGTAGAAAGCTGGGTTCGATATGCTGATAAGTTTACAAGGATTGTCAAGCGCTGCGCCTCTGCGTTGAATCTAGCACGGTTGGTGTTCGGCCCTTAGCACAGACCTTCAGCTCTGATTTTGTCTGAAGTGTCGGATACTTTTGAAGTGGATCTTACACAGACTCACGAGTCCCGTTTGCAATCGTCTCAATCGCCAGCTCCTGAAAGGCTTCAACCCTTGATATGGAGGGCCGATGGTTGCCAGGAGGTCTCGCGAGAGAAAGTCCAAGAGTTGAGGTTTTACAATAGTTGCTGAGGACCCTTTGTGGGTTATGGTCATGCATTTTGAGTAGTTTTTGATATTTTGGGTACCTCATGGTCAGGCCGTACCTGGAGCTGGCCTTTGAAAGCATCATCGGGTAAACAGCGCGGATTAGTGCAAATTACTCATCCTTGTCGCGAGCCTCGAACAAAAACAACACGAAAACCCACCTCGCGAACCCGGAAAGCGTCTGGGACTCGAGCTCACGCGCCAAGCGCTCGCGCTCCTCGCGCTCACGGCGCAGCATCTCTTGCCGGCGGGCCTGCGCATCGGATCTCACTGAAGGAACGTGCAGATGTATGTGTAGAATGAGTGTGGAGGGTATGACTCACCAAGAGCTGCAAAAACCTCTTGTAACCTGAGATCTTTCTGAAATCCACGAGGCCGAGGCCTCTCTCTCCTGCTCCTCGGCCTCACGCATACGCTCTTCGTAGGTCTGCGCCTGGCTGGAAGCCCGAAGCCGTGCCCTGCAGGGCCTTTCATCCACCTTTCAGCCCGTCCTTCTCGCGCACGAAGTTGCGGCATCTCGCCATCATCTCCTGGAGCCAGACTCAATCGCCACGAAATGCGACCGAAACATCCCCATCTTACCCTAGCTGCACCCCTCTACAATCCTCTAGAATCTGGACCTGCTTAGAGCATCTTAGAGCTCTCCTCCATGCGGACGGCGGCATCCTCGTCGCTCTGGCTCTGGCAAGGTCAAGAGGGCAGAGGGCAACTGCTTCAGCTGCCAGACAAGAGGCGTCACAAGCTCTGTCTGATGTAAACTGACGGGAATGTGACAGGATACACCCCACCTTTCGCCTCGGCTTCACATCCGCCACCTCCTGTGCACACTGAGCGGATTCAATGCAATCTCCGTTCAAATCCACTAAGCCATGACGAGGAGGCCTTGTTGGGGGCCTCCTTGTCATTGAGGCCGAAATCCCGGGCCAGCCCACACCTCTCTAGCATTCCACATGGGAGACGAGGGAGCCTCGGGTCCCCTTTCTGCTTCAACGTTTCTGCTTCAAAGCATTGAAGGCGCCTGGACCCTGCCAAGCGGACACAGGCCTCACAGGCCGACAGTTAGCCGAGCCCAACGCTGCTTGAGATACCGCTGCTGCTTGTCCGAGAAGATATGCCTTGGCTTCCCAAAAAAGTCGAGAGGGACGGAACCCTGCAAATGGCTGGGATCCTGACAAGTACTTCAGCATGGTTCGGTGCATTCGCTTGCCAACCTGGTCGCTGGAGAAGTGTTTTGGGGTTGCGAGGACTCACGATTTCTTCAGAGTTCCGAAATCAAAGACACTAGACACAGGTCCTGGCCTTCTCGTTCAGCCCATCAGCAAATTTCTCGCTGGCAAGCACATTGTACAGCCTCGGCAGCAGCGAAATGGCCAACTGTCATGTGGTGTAGGCAACCTGCGGGGATCTGAGTAGATCATGCGTGCAGATGCGTGCACCAGCTGTACCAGCAGGCACCCAAGGTCTAAAGCAACTGAGACGTTCGCTGGCTGACCTCAGCCAGAGGGAAGATGCAAAGCTGGCTGCCGCCGCATGCAAATAATTTTAAGATGCACGGGAAGGCACGACATGTGCTTTTCAGACCTCAATGCCTGCGCCTCCGTCCTCAGCCTTCGCGGATTCGCCCATCCCCCCCCTCCGCCCGCCTTCACAGCACCTTCAGAGGCGACGCGACAAGCCTTAGACTTCCACAGCGCGGCAAAGGAAGGCTGTCACTGCTCTTGTCTTGGCTTTGGGCTGTAGAGAGCCAGGATGCTCGCTCTTCCGGCCTGAGTGAAAAGGAACCGTCATGATTACAGCTAAGGCCATATCTTGACCGACGGCTCTCTGGTCAGAACAAACTCAGATAGGTATAACGCTGCGCAAGCAGAGAAGTGGTATTGGCTGACCCACAATTGCACAAGCAACAAGACTCCTGACAATACTCCACTCGCGGTCCTTGTGAAGTACTCTGCTTGTGGCCAGTATTTTGGAGCTTACGACTATCGGAGAAGGGCCAAGAATTCAACCCTGCAGCCGAGGCCGCCACTCCATTTTTAGAACCTTCTTTGGGTCCAGTTCCTCGGTGAGCGAATCAGCTCCTGCCGGTATTATAGCCTGTGGTATCGACGGGAAGACATCGATCATTCCTCTCGCGCACGCTTCCTCTCGACATCTCGTTCCAGTGGCAAGCCCCTTATGGCCCCTTCTCCCTCAGAAAGCTGGGTCGTGAGCCACGCCAGCAGCCTCCAAGAGCAGCGCATCGAGTTTGCCCTTGGACTTGCCCATGGCCTCCGGAGCCCAGGCCCGGGTCCCGAGTCCTAAACGGCCCCTAAACTGGGAGTCTAAGCTTGGAGGCCTCTGCCTCGAGACATGGGCCCCACTAAAGCACTCAAAGCATAAAAGACCCGGCGGCCTGGGCGGCCGAAGATACCCCGTCAGAGTCAGCTCGCCATGAGGAGCAACTAGCTCACAGGGCACACTTCGGGGTTTTGGCGATTTCTGATCCTTCTGAGTCTGGGGGCTCCGAAAAGGCAAATGATATCTGGAAGCCGTCGGTTGGGGGTCTCTCCGAAAACGGGGCTTGAACGCTTGCACGAAACGGATCATTCCTGAAGTGGCAATCTGATGTCCCTTGTCTCTCTGCTTTTGTTTTGACATGTTCTGACTGCCCGAAAACGATCCATGCTTCCGCTTCTTTGTTCCGGCCTTTTGGTTTGCTTACTCCGGCTTCCGGATCGCTATCATCTTCTTGCACGGCTCTGGGCCGACAGGAGAAGGAAAGTCGGAGCCAACGTCAACTCAAGCATAAATCGCCCTTCCAACATCAAATCCTGAAAGCCAGAACAGCTCCAACGCTTGTTCTCGCGTCGAGTCGCGGCAGTCTTTCTGAGCGCAAACGGTCGTGAACTTTCCGTATCGGGTGCTAAGTCGACTGGGATAAGAATGCAGTGGCCTTGGCACCATGCTGCTAAGGTTATGCTCGCGAGTCCTTCCCGTCGCATCAGAAGCTAAATAGCTCAAGCCTCACTGGCAAGGCATCAAGCTCCGCGCAGTTTCTGCCTCAGTCTCTGGAACATTAACATATGGAGTATTCAACTCGGAGAAACCATGTTGGCCGGCATGGCAGCCCACCCGGATCAACAACCTGGGAAAAGCTGAGCAGCCGACGTGACCCTACCACGCTGGAAGTCTTCGAACTTGATGCGGATGTCTGCGGCGCCAATTCCGGAGACCTGGCGTTCGACCGTGGTAGACAGTGTCGCTTAAAGCGGCACTCACACCCCGATGAGGCCTTCTCTTCGACTGCTAGAAGCATGTCCAGCAAAACTTGTCCGACAGCCAGGACGTGAAGCTCTTCCTTATGGCAGTAACAATGTCAGGCAAACATCGCAACCAGAAGAGGACCTGGACCTTGAAAGATCCGCATGTTTTTCACTGGCCCACATGGCACACTGTTTTCGACATGATGCCGAGCATAAACGCGATAGCAGGTTTAGTTGGCAGCCTCCGCATGCTTCAACCACAGAGCCACTTTGGCATCTGCCACCGTCCTCGGCACGGCTGGGATAGCCAGAACGAGTTGAACAAGCTTCAGAGATCTTCAGAGCTGACCTTTTTCCTGATCTATTGAGTCTATTGAGGCACCGATCATCTGGCTTCATTTCATGTGAGATTGCCCTGAGCCAGCCATTGCGGGATCAGGATGCAGCAACTTAGCTCCCCGCAACGAGACTGCAACACCTCAACCACAGCCACTGATCTCTGTGTCGGCTGGATTGCTTGTCATGCGACTTGGGCATGCAGCATGTGACAGCTCCTAAGAGTGACGCCGCACACGTCGGCATGACCCTCGAAATGGCTCCGTAGGAGACCACTTGTCAAGGCCTGGGCACACGCCCTAGACCACGCCGGGCTGCACGCTGCCCACGCTTCCAAGCGACAACGAACATGTTATGACGATGCTGCCATGGTTTGTCGGAAACTGCTTCTGCGGGCGAAACATAGAGGCGACTGAGATCCCAACAAACCACACCTGGAAGGCAGGACGTACGTTGGCGACAAACCCTACTGCCCGCCCACAGCATGCCTCGGTGAGCGTGGCCCGGCCTCGTTCAACAACGGCACAAAATCCTGCTGCAGCTTTGTTCAGAACTCGCGGGCAGTTCCGATTTGTGACCCACCGCGAACAAAGATGACAAAAGTGGGTCCCTGATTGGCCTGCAACTGGCATGACCATGTGTGCCCAGCATCGCCCAGCCCTCGTGTGATATCTGTGGCCCCGCTGGCCGCTCCTCTGCGTTCCGAGGCAGGCCCAGAAGCCAGCGACCCCCGCAAGTCAGCGAGGCCTCCTCGCGAGCCTCGCTTCAGCACCAATCTGTCGATGCTCGACGATGCTCGAATACCGAGAAGCACGGATCCCACAAAAAAAGGACACAACATAAAGCGAGTTCATTCCAGAACAAAGTTCTGCCCACGCTTGCAGCCCGACTTGGGGCTCAGCTAGAGCTCCTACGCAGCCCAGCTCTGCCACAACGGCTGCTACGGGGAGCCGGGCCGGGACGGTGCCATCCGCGAACAGCGCCAGGCCGGAGCCGGCGGGCCTCCGCGGACGGGAAGAAGGAACCATGTGTCGTCGGCTTAAGTACGCGAGTTTTCTCTAACCACTCTAATTGTGCTGAGTAAAACAGCAGAGCATACTGAAATAAGCGGGCATAATGAAGTAAGCGGCGCGAGGAAAATTTCGATAAGACGGAAGCACGCTGCCATAGCACAACGCTGTAGCGATGTAAGCTTACGACAGGTGCATAGCACTGCGCCGGCATGACGTCAGAAAACGATGCATGACCAAGCAGATGAAGACGAAGGGTCAAAACAGAACGACTCGAGGGGCAATCGCAAGAAAACGACCCATGCAGCAGAAAACGCAAGCGCATAGACAGCGCAAAGGCTCGGTTGCGGGCAAGCGCATTTTACAAAAGCACAGAATAAGCAAAACCTACGGGCTACTCCGAGCAAAGCAGTCTGCAATGTTTGCAATCTACCAATGATGTCCGAGCAAGCGAGAACTTTAAATAACTTGAAAAATGTGTGCAGCATGCAAGTGGTGACAGAATTCTCTCAGACTCCCGGCAAAGTACTGGGCACATCCTGGAGCTGGGCTTCTTGAAAAATCCCTCCTGAGATCACACTGGCAACAGCCACTGACAGAGAGACCGCACGGTACATCGACGATCGATCTGTTTCGGCATGGCTGGGATGAGAGCAATATGGATACAGAATCTTCAGCATGTCCTACGGTCCTACGACAGATGCTGAATCTGTTCGGAAAGCCTGGATTTAAACACAACAATGGCTCATCAGCGTGCCATCCAACATGTTGCATCGTCAGGCAACGGGTCCACAGTTCATGTGTCCCGCTGTCCTCCGGCTTTGCGGAGAGCTTGTGTCCCAGGCTGGCCTGTAACAAGCCCAGTCTCTGCTGGGTTTATACACTGGACTTCTCAGAGACTTCCAAGCACTTTGACTGCGGGAAGGCATCTCATGACTCTTTGTTGCACAAGCAACCGCCGGACTAGCAACACCCTCCTCTTGCAGACAGTCTCTCGGGAGTGCAAGACAGAGTGCCGTACCGCTCTATTCGAGAAACTCCTGAGCTGAGCCGCTGACCAAAAGCATCGGTCGAAGTTTGCCACAAGTTGAAAGGCTTCGGCACGGCGTACTTGCCTGTGCAGCAGATCCACCGCCACGATGTCTGAACGCTATGTACGCCGCTCGACAATGTTGGGCCACAGCTCACTTAGTGCCCAATCCGGGCGAGTGATGGCCTTCCCGCTCCTGCGTGGAAGAAACCTTGATATACCTTGATCATGCATCCTCCAACTGCCCGGATGCCAGCTGGTCCCTGAAGCGAAAACCGGCCTTCAGCAAGGCCTGCACAGGAAGCTGCGTCCGGCCTCGGCTGTACACTGGTGGGCCTGTTCTGGATCGAAACTGACCCCCATGCGAGAAGAAACAAGAACAAAAGACGAAGTGATTGAGCTGTTGCTGCGCTCCTATTGAGTACAAACAGAGCCAAGAACCATCATCGGAGGCTTGGTGCATGTCCGGTCAGGTAGAGGACGCTTCCACCCCAAGAGTCGAAGTGCCAGTGTTGCGAGATGGTGGGTGAAAAATACATCATCGCATGTTCATGTTGGAAGGCCATTCAGGGACGGATGCGATCAATGCACATGACCAGGACATCTTGGGCACAGACATCGTCATCCAGTCTGCCGCCTTGGTTGCTCAGACTTACTCATGGCATAGAAGTGGCAACTGCCCCGGATGTGACAAAGGTCCAGGCGGCAAACGGCTGGGCAGGCAGCGGGTAGGACGATGTCATGTCGGGCATCCTTGGGTAGTCGAATTCGGACAACACCTGGAACACCTCTACTTGACACCCTGGGGCCCAAGCATGTTCTCGGAGTAAGGCGAGTAGGGCGCCGGCCACCTAAGCTGATTCTGGCATCATGTGGCACCCTACACTATACGCTTACTCCTGTGACCATTAGATATCCGAGATGCACCACAGATTAAGCCGCGTGCGACATACGGCCATGCACAGCGTAGTGTTTGGCTGTGTTGATACTGCTAGGTCTGCTAGGTCCTTTAGGTCCAGGTTCGGCTGCTGGTCGCGGAGCTTGAAACTCATGACGTAGTGTGACCGGCACGGGTCCTGAGGCTTGGCTCCCGGACCACGTCTGCACTCCTCCCCAATCGCTGATGCCCTCCAGCATCTGAGGCGATGTGAAGTCGCCGAGTACGGCCTTCAGTGGCAGCATGAGCACCGAGCAGCAGCAGCAGCAGCAGCAGCTGAAACGGTGTTCCCATCACCGCTGCAGGGGTTGTGCACGGGGCCGGGCTTTAAGTCCGTGAAGTAGCACGAAGACCTACTGCAACCTGGTGACATTCCCGGACCATTCCCGAGCGATCCAAAAACCTTGAACAGGTTGCAGTCTGCGGCGAAAGCCTTTTTTTTTACCTCCCGCTGTTGTAATCCTTGGGCATTGGCTGGCGAGGGCTGTGCCTGCAGTGATCGTAATGAGCCCGCGAGATGGGCCGGACTGGAACCCTCCTACTCCAAGATCTTGGGGTTCCATGCTCTTTCTGCAAAGCTCACCAACGACTGAAGCTACGAAATACTGAATATTCTCCACTTTTCGTCGGCTGTGTAAGGCTGATCCCGAGCTGCGATGGGAGATGTTGACCCGCTGCAGAGCAGGAACGACTATACGTATAGAATACAAAACTGGAAACGCGGCATAAATCATAAAGATGTTTCTGTGCGGTTTCGGGCTCGTCGCAGCACGGGATCTGATCACGCAGGGGCCCGGTTGGCCAGGACCCCAAACAAAATTTGGGGGACCGGCTACGCATAGTTAAGCATTCCTTCCAGCTTCGAGCTTGCATCGCTCAGATGACTGGATCTGCAACATGCGGGTCTCTTCTGAACCCAGATGATGCCGTGACTTCAACATGCGACGGCACTTGCAGCTCCACGTCTCAAGGCATTGCCACAGAGGAAAGGCTGTAACATGCTGTGAGCTTGCGTAAGGACATCGGACGAAAATTACCACTCGGGTGCTTCGGGATGCTGCGTCTGAAGAGCTTCGCTGACAAGTGCCAGCTGCTACAAAGCCACCATCTTCAGAATTCTCAGTGGGCTCCATGGCGTTCCTGCGCCTCCACGCTATTCCGCACAAACTTCTTTGTCTCCACTACAAGACGCAGATAAACGGTTGTGTCTTCGAGGCGGCTCAATGGCGTCGTACATGCACGCTGCACCGTTGATGGCTTGGCGCAGATTCCCGCAAACCCTCACTGACCCGATTCTTGCCCGCAAGTACGAGTACGAGAGTACTCCGAAAGAGCTCAGGACACCTAGCTTATGTGTTTTCACAGTGGTGGCCGGGGGAAGAACTCCGCCGCATGCTATGGGGTCTGGTAAGCTTGCGCCTCGAGCATAAACATACCTCACAGTAGATGCATGGATGTGCTTCCCCGCCTTTATTCGGTGGAATGCCCCGACTCCGACACTTGGGCGTCATCTGCGAGGTGCTCTGATTCTGAGCTTCTCTGGCGCAGCATGTCCTTCGTGGCTCGGAGCTTAGGAAGTCGACTGTCGTCGGGAAAGGAAAATAAGCATTGCTCTCTCAGGCCAGGAGTCATCGGGAGAGGGATCCTGGCTCCACACCAGCCGAGCCTGGGGATTTCTGGGTGCACCAGAAGACTCGTCCGGCAGGGGGTCCGCTGACGTGTCTGCTGCCTTGGTTGCGACCTACGAGAAAGCTCCCAAAAAGCGATGGCCCAACCTCGCCAAGTTTCGGGGCTCGTCGGCTCTCCTGCAGAGCCGAAGTGCATCTTTTTTGTTTCCCAGGCTACGATGTTTGTTTGGACTCCCGCCAGGGTCCTGAAGGCTCTTCGGTCTCAGACGCCTTCTTTGCTTCATCCTGGGGCACGCGGAGGTGCGTGTTGCCGAGCAGGATGGCCGATGGGGATGACGGTGCTTCCGGCGCAACCTTGCAACACGGGGACTCGAAAGCCTTTCATGCCTTTCAGAAGCCCTGGAGCTCTGATGATCTGAGAGGCCTCCGACGGGATGAACTCGGCCCGGAGCTGCATCAGCTGGCGGCAAGCCTTTTCTGCCTGCCATGCACGAGTGGAGCTTGGCGGCTTCTCGCTCCGCTTAGGAGGAAAGGGAACGAGATTCGACGCAAGCTGCCAAGTTGCCATGGCAAGTCGTAGTTCCGTGGCTTCCAGCTCCATTTCCGCAGACCTCGGACATTGAAAGACTTCAATGGCGGCTACGGTCGAGAATTGCAGCATGCTCCAAGACTCTGTGCCGGTGACACATGCTACAGTATGTGCTGCTGGAGACCTTCTCATGGCCTTCTCATCGATGCTGATTTGTTCCAGGTACCGTCGACGAGTGAGCCAGCCGGCCTCAGACATCAAGCAAAGAGCGGACGCTCCCGCTGCCTCACCATGCTGGCTGTTAGAGACACTGCACCGCGGCTTTGCCAGACCGACAGAGAAGCAACACGTTTTGTTTGGTCCAGGCTACAATAATTGGGGCCGTAACAGTTTCAAGAGCTTTTTTTTTTTGGGGGGGGGGTGCTTATTATGCCGTAGTTAGCATCGGGTTGTGGGGTGAATTATGAATTTCTATGCCTCTAATAATAAGGAGCCAGGACTAATGTTGCGCACCTTCGCTGATGCCAGTTGAAGCTGATGGTCCATCCACTGGCAGTTCTGCTGGTCCAGAAACACGCTCTCCTGCCGAAGCATGCCGCGCCACCGATTGAAAGAAGATAACAAGTCCGGGTGTCGAGATTTGCAGCAAAGCTTGGCACCTGCCCCCTTTCAGCTAATGTGCAGCGAAGACGCACCGAGCATGTAAACCGCTCCCACGGTCCTGACGAGCCAGGAGCTCATCCAGCGCTCTTCCTCGAAAGCGAGCCGGTAGGGCTTAGGGTTTTGAGGCCCCAGTGGCCCAAGCAGCCGAAGAGCTTCTTTGCCAAAGCTGCACAGCCCTAAGCCTTCCCGAACCAGGTCCCAGTTACGCACACTCATGTTCTTCGCCAGTGACCCGCCGACGCGCAGCCCAAGCTCTTCACCGAAAATACCTGAGTTCGGGCACACGGAGTTGGCCTTGACTTGGGGCCCTGGAAATTCACCAAAGAGCTCCTGAATGACTTGGGATCGGGGAAATGGAGCGTGTGTTGAACGAGGCGTCTACCTGGTCTACCTGCAGAAAAGCTAGAATGAAAAGCAAAAGCTTTGCTGGCAAAAGCGTGTGATGCCAAATATGTTCGCAACAGCTTTGTCCACCGCATCCTCCACTTCTGTCATCGGGTCATAGGCATCGCCGACGCACGTGTAGCCTGATACGGGAAGTGGCGTTTTGAGGGTTATTGAACTGCAAGCAACTGGAAGGCCGTCTGGCAGAGACGAGAGGCTCTCTTGCTCCATTCCCGGCTCTTCACCCGGTCCCGACATCAGATTGGGCAAAGTCCCTTGAGCCCTCGAAGCTCGCAAGTCGCCACATGGCCGACCAGAAACAGAAAGCTGACGGCTGTTTCTCGCTGATCCATGCTGATCCCATACTCGTTTTGGTGCGTAACTGGCGACTGGAAGTTCAGAACGGTGCTCTGGCCACGTAGCCGCTAGCCCCTGCCCCCAACCTCGCGATGATTTTCACAACTGCTAGAAGGTTCACAAGCAGTCTTGACCCCGAAAAGCCCCTGCAAGTGTCAGCCGCCCCTTGAACTTTCTGCCTTGTGCACTTACGAGTGGATTCACATTCCCATCAGACGGAGCTCCCAAGGCCCAAGCCGATAAAGACGGGGGAAAAGCCATGAAGGCAGCGGGCTCCCACCGAGACCAGCACCTCAAGAACGAGTTTTCCCGACTCACAGCTTGGCTAGGGTTTTGTTCGATTGCAAGTGTCGGGTCGACTTAACAAGTTCAACATGAGTGTGCACGCTCGTTCACTCAGTGTCTGCGGAGTGGGGCCTTTGTTAGCCTCTACCTCGCGTAGTCCACCCTCGGTGCGCCAAAGCGACAGACCCCTTCTGGATACTTATTGGAAGCATGCGGTGACTCGCGGCACCTTCTGCAGAACCAGTTGCCGGACCATTCCTCGTGTCCTGGCTTAGCTCTCGATATCTCTCGTGCACTCATGGAGCTCTCCCGACAAAAAGCGGGATTGGAGACAAACCTCTGGAGCAGGGCACTGCTAGGCGAGCTGTGAATACCATTTTGTCTCGCAGGAAAGCGTCCTTCGCAGCATGGACGTCCATCAGCATAGCAAACCTTGCCAAACGGTACCATGCTACAGGCAAACCGCACAAACTTCAGCAAAATCCATGCGATGGTGCAGCCCGCTTCTCTCGCCTGGTATGTTGAAGTATTTTGATTTCTTATATGTACACCCACCAGAAGTCCCAAACTTCGTGCCTTGGCATGAAATCACCATCACATCCGGTCACTCACTCCAATGATCCGAAACCTGGGATCTGGACATGCTTGCAGCCATCACAACTCCGCAGTTGGATGTTGGTGGAATCTGCAAGGATGCCAGGCGACACCTGTACAGGAAAATCGCAGCGCTGCAAGCGTGCTGTTATACTAGTTCCGAGCCTTTGCACCCGGAATACCCGCAATCTGAGGCTGGCAAACGAACTGCGGCGGCTTCTCCATGCGTATGCTGACAAGCCGATCATGCTTTAACCTACACCTTTTAGAGGAGGGTTGTCGATAGCCACAGCAGACAAATCACAGGGCCTCGAAGCTCCAACAGCGAACCTGAGGGACACTGGCAGGGGCTTGTTCGCGAGTTGACTGCGTTTCATTGCTGCCTACTTCATGGGCAAGCCGCGGCCAACGGAAGCTTGCGGCTAGCGCGGGATCGTTTCGGAGACGCATGGTCAAGACAAGAGGGACTGGAGAGTTTGGGAACTGTAACACCGTAAGCCATACATGACCTTAACGAGGGTGCTCTGAGAATAGACACAGCTCTGGGCTGCAATCATGGCCATGTCGGACACTAGAGCACTGCCAGGAATCGTTTGAGGTATCGTCACCACCGTGACTCAGGAGTACTCGGCACATTGCGTGACAAGATTGGTAAGATCCAGGCGTAGGTGTCGAACCTCACCGGAAGGGGGTTGAGCCTGCACCACAAAACGCTTCCGAGCAGTGGGGAAACAAGCCGCACATGTACATACTGATATTTGCCTGCTTGTTTTTCTGCACCTTTGCGTTATGTTTTGCTATTTGCCCAAGGTATGTCGGCTTTTTCCGACTCGAGGACGCAAAGTTTCTGTGTCTGCATGATGCATGACATGCATGGCAATCATGTGGGGGGTGTGTGCATGCGCTTGCGCATGCGCATGTCAATGTATGTATGTCAGTACATACGTAAGTACGTATGTATATATATATATGCACGGCCTTTGCTTGCTCAAAGTGATGCTCAAGACTCATCTCGTTTAGGGTCTGGCTGTGCGTACCATCAAAGACCGAGCCAGGTGGAAAGATGCTGATGCACATCATCGCCAACGGTACAAGCCCAACCTCTCTACGCCTCTAGACCCTAAAGATCCTCAATGCTAAAGATCCTGGGCTCCGCTTTTTGCAGCCAGCCTATACTAAACCCTAAACCCAAAAATTCCCTAAACTCTAAGAGCTTACTCCCTGAAAGCTTGACCTTCACAACCGCAGCACACAATTGTGGGCAGTCCTGCATCGGTCCGCCAGATCCCCCGCCATGCCCTGGCATTCGCCGAGGATAGCACACCTCAGTTCCAGGCTTCTCTCAACCGACGGTCTCGAACCGCAAGTCAATAGACTGGGCGAGGCATCTGTCCAGCTGTTGCAGGGTTAGCAAGGAATAGCCAGGGCAGGTTGTTTTTATAATGTAGGCCAGTCCCTGCCCTGTTGAGCATGGATAACTCTGCTCAACATATGCTGGCTTGTTCAACTGGCTAGAACAGCTGCAACATGCTCATGTGCAGCTTCCCGGTGATTTCCTGTCATTGCACGGGCAAGTTGAAGAATGTTGAAGAGGCTGCCGACTCATCGGGAAGAGGTACACAAAAGGCCGAGACGAGATGGGACTAGGACCAAAGAAAGGTCCGAAAGCTGATCAACCCAAGCCCACTGAACCCCAACCCCAAAATTTTCCAAGTTTGGGGGCCAGAGCCGTTAAAAAAGAAATCAAACGAAACCCGCTTCATGAACTGCAAGACTGACTCTTAAGGTCATGGCAGCGTGGCCGGAAGAGCTGTTCTCCTCCTGAAGGCAGGCAGACCTAGGGCCCTAGAGGCAGACCTGACATCAAAGTGGGTTAGGGTTTAGGGATTAGGGTTTAGGGTTTAGGGTTGTGCCACAATTGGTCGAATTCTCAAAAGACCTGCGGCGCAGTGGGCAGCGCGACCGATGAGCACGCACCTTGGCTGTGGGCTCCGGCTGAACTTTCTGATGATAATAGTACTGATATGAATATGAATAATAAGTGTAACAACAAGACTAATAATCAGCATCATCATGATAATGGTAAGCTCCCTGCCCTGGCTATGAACCACAGAGACACAGAGCCTCCCTTCAGTCTAAGTCTCCAGACCCACCGGAAAGTGATGTTGATGCGCTCCTGGGCCAGCTGCTCAAGGAAGGCTCATACACTTATATACTCTCGCTGCATTTTGTTGCTTTTTGATTGCAGGCTTGGCCTCTGGCATGTCTGATGGGCTCCCGAGGGTTGCACTTGGGCACAAAGTGCAGACAGTGCCGCTGCATACGGCCCTGGCCACAAAAGCAGGAGGCTCGGGGCATGCATCGTAAGCGAGATGGAGAGCCGAGGAGAGTCAGCAGACCGCGGGGCTGGTTTGCAAAGCTTGTGGACCTCCATGGTCAAGATGTCCCCGTTGCAGAGGTCCGTTTCAACGATGCTTCCGGTCACTGGATCCTAAGCAAGTTCAGCAACAACCAGCAACTTCTGAGTGAGTGGAAACGTACACGGTGCAGGCTGGACAGGGCCGCTGATGTCAAATGGAGTCGTGCCGTTCCCCTGCATAAATTACTCGTCTCCTCATCAAGGACCCCTTTTTCGTGTGAGGCGACCCGCTTTCTCATGTTCAACACCACAGTGCATCCTTCTTGCCACACCTGTTGCACACCTCTAAGCCTGAGCCATGCCCAGCTACCGACCTGAAAGAGCATTGGCAGCTCGGTTTGAGTGATGGAAAAGCGGCTGAATGAGCTATGGCTTCCGAAGGGTTCCCCCAATCCCGCCTTCCACTTTCCCAAGATGACATAGCCCAAAAGATCAAGATTCGTCTTGAGAATCGCTCATTGAGTAAGCAGCATCTCCTTTCAAGCTGCGTGCAGGCTTTTTCGCCCATGCCCGCGTGTTGGACAGAGATTCACCAAGCCCCGCCAATTTGCAGAGGCGGTGCACCATCTTCTGCCATCAACCTACTGGCTTCCACATCATCATCTTGCAGGTCTATGGCAAGCAATATGCCGCTTTGCGGCAGGGTACCCGACTGTGCCGGGTGAAACTGGAACAGGAGCAAGCTATTCAAACATGGCTGCGTCCACCATATCGTCAAACATGCTGACGTCGCCAAGGCCCTGACGACGCAAGACTGGCTCCTAGCACGAGCTGCAAGGTACTTCGAAGTCACCAGGCTAACTGGCAATAGCTAGCACTGCACAGCCAGGACACGCGACTGCCAGTAGCAGACGCATGAAAGGGCAAACTTCACTCCTTCAAGTTTTGAGCTAATAGCTGCTCCGGTTCTTCTGATGCCCGCAGTCCTCCATCGTCAGGTCGACGACTGTAGAGACACGGTCTTCCTTCTCCATACCGGCCCACATCTCAACTATTGCCTGTTCCAGAGGCGGCTTGCCAAGACATTGCTGGTGGGAGGGGGGAAGAAACTCATGAACCTGCAGATGAGGAAAGCAGCTGATTCCGCTGTTGAGTTTTTCGTGGCTTCCGGATGACAAGTCCACCAGCCAACTCCGCGAAGACACACCGAGACCAGCGGATTCGACTGTTGAGTTGACGATGAATATCGTGCTGATGCTGCAAAAATCGGGACAAGCCCGAAGATAACGATGACGATGACGGCCATGATGATGACGATGAGGAGGAGGAGGAGGAGGAGGAGGAAATGGTTATGGCTTATGGCTAAAGCGGTAAAATGATGATGCGCTTGATGATGATCATGATGAGGATGGTGGTCATGCTGATGGCGCCTACGATTCTGATATGACGCTGGTGGTGGTGGTGGTGGTGGTGGTGGTGGTGGTGCTGCTGCTGCTGCTGCTGCTGGTGGTGGTGCAGGTGCTCGTACTACCTGTGCTGCTCAGATTGTGCTAGTACTGCAACTAGCCAACGCCACCGTGCTGCAACTTGCGAGCCTCAGCACCCACCACGAAATCCAGCTTGTTCTTCTGCCTGGAGTATGGGCGCATTGCTGAACATGGCCCAAGCAGACAGAAAGAATCACAAGAACGCGAAAGACGATATCGGAAAATCATGTAAGAAGCCCGGCCAACCGCTGCTGGAACCCAATCAGACGCGGCACCGCCCAATGCAAAAACATGACCGGGGACATCTCGTTAAAGCTGTTTACGGTTCGATCCGTAACCATGGCCAACAAAGGCAAACCCAAGTACGACATCGAAATCGAAAATCCTTCATCTTGAGAACAAGGCGTTCGCAATTCCTTCGGTCAAAAAATGACCCTTCGATCCGGCCGGAACAGCGATTTCTCCCCACCCGTCCACGTCCATTCTTGTTTTGGCCATGACCACTGTAGCTCAACGGCAACCCGAAAGCTGTTCCGGAGGAGCAAATCGTGTACCTGATTTTGATGTTGCTCGTCCGCCGCTCATGTGTTTGACGGCTTCGGCTTTCTGTTTCCTGTCAGAAGCTTCTCCCTTGTATTTCGCTCGATACTTTCGAGCTCACAGGGAAAGCCTCTCTGGCAGTAGTGTCCGTGCCCTGGCCTCCCTGGATTCCTGCACCCAGGAACCGCCTTCCTCTCTCTCAGGGGACCGTCTAGAGTCTACAGCAAGTATAGGACTTGGGTTTAGGATGGAGCCTGTCTGGTGTTCACATACCCCTTGCTTCTCTTAGTACATGTCCCGACCCCGGGTCTGCAAGCAGCTGAGTTAGTTTTAGAGTCTGACATCTTTTGACCAGGCGGCTCGGTCCAGATCTCCACCGCAGAATCTGGGGCAGAGGAGGCCAGTAAAGGAGCCTCCAAGTCCTGGAAGCGCTTGCGCTTTGAAGATACTCAGACGCTCCAAGCAGGACACCGGGATCAGGGCTTGAGGTCCTGGGAAAAGCCAGCATCATCACAGCCACAAAAAACCAAGAGGATGAGGATCATGGTGAACGGTGCGATGCTTATGGTGCTGACGATAATGATGAAGGTGGAGACTATGTAGATACCAGCCGATGAAACAGAAAGTGATAATCGGTAATGGTCGCTACTGTTCTTTTAGTATTGGTAAATGTCATGGCGGGGATTGCGGGTGTGCTGGTGGGCGGTGGCGGTGGCAGCTGCTGCTACTGCTGCTGCTGCTGCTGCTGCTAATCTGCCACAGTACAGTGGTTTTTGGTAGTGCTTGAGATGGTAGGGGCAGCAGCGTCTTCGACAGTGATGTGGAGCACTGCTTGCGTCATTGAATAGCTGAACAGTAACGAGCAGACACAGGCACCGCAACCACCGGAACTCCACGTGATGCTTGTCTGAACGACTGTCATAGTAACAGTAGTGCTACAAGACAGCTTGGGGGATATGGGGGACTTGGAGATGTCTTGATATCAACAACAGTTGAAACCGCAGCATCGCTCGCAGTCAGAGCAGCACTTATAACTTCTGCCCTCAAAACGGGGGTTGGGAGAGCTGAAGAGGCAGATTTGGTGGTTTTCGGGGTCTGGATGTCGCTTGCCCTGAAGGCTCAGCACGGCATGACATCGTGAAGAAGCCCGGCTGTTGGGGTGCTGTTGGCTTCGTTGAAGATCCTGTTTTGACACACAAAAGGGGCATGCAAGCAAGTGCTGCCAAATCTGCTGTACTAGCCTGTCGGTTTCAAAGAGATTCGAATCTGCGGATCAACTGTGCCCTGCCTGGCCTTTCAGGCCGGGAAGGTTGGATTGCGTGTTCCGCGTTCGACAGTTGTTTGTACACTATGCAGGTCATTCGGGCTTGGAAATGTGTATTGGAAGCGCATGCGGCGTCGTTGGCGTAGCAGCACGCTAAGACAACAAGCACCAGCTCAGCAACGTGGAAGTCTTCGGCACACAGCTGCATGTCAGTTTCGGTCCACGTAGTGTATGGGTGCGGCAGTTTCACACGAGATACATTTTGGGGGACCGGGTCTGACGTGCACGCGTGCGCGAAAGACAGATTTAAGCTGCTCAGGGTTACTGCGCATCGTGTGTACGATTTACACACAAGCGTCAACCCGACCAGTCCTGGATGCGTAGATTGTGGAAATACTGGTGAAACCATATCTTCGCATGAGGGCTGTGTAGATATACAGTGTGTGGCCCTGCAGGCTCTGCATGGCACAATGCACAAATCATCAGCACTTGATCCTTGTTAAAGTAGGAAACAAACTCAGCAGGACACCTTGAGAGCTGAATTGTGCATGAACTTACGGCCAGATGAAATAGATTTGATCCACCCAGCCGTCATTCTCTGACGGTATGCTGAGCGGGCTTTCCGTTCTGGACCGCTGCACAGGATAAAACAATTCTGCTTGTTGTAGATATGCTGGGCTCGAACCCTCAGTTGGCGCTTGAAAGTAGCACTCCAACACCTCAAGCTCCAGATCAGCACGTGACGTCGGTGTAATACACCAGGGCATATACGATTGGCTAGGTCTGCGTCCTCACTGGAGCTCTTGTAACAATGACTGCTGCACGCAGTCGCATGCAGATCGCATGCAGAAACGGAAGAAGACTAATTAGTCTCCGAAACACAGATGCTTGATATGTGTGTTTCGGATCCAAGAAGGCTCACTGCGGCAAGCCTTCTTCACCATGCATGCTTCACCGAAGTTGAGTTGCCACAACTTGGGAACATCCCCGGCGCCTAAAGAAAGAAACTGAGTTTTCCATCCGCGCCAAGCACTTGCGTGTAAGCCGGCTCGTGTCTCAAAATCGTGCATGCCTGAGTGGTATTGATGTTGGCTTCGTGGGGTGCCGCCATCTCACCCGGCAGGGCGACAGCAGCCTCCATGCCGTCCGCAAGACTGCACGAGGTTGCGATTTGAGATCCAGGCTCGCTGTTGACATCTGCTCCTGCTGATGCCTCTGCTTGTGCTGTGGATTCATAATGACAAGGCCCGCGTGGCAATGGTAGCGGCGTTTCTGTCATGAAGTTCTGGCTCTGAATACATCTCCGTGGCCCTTTGCCCCTCAATGGCTCCAAGCGGAGTGGAGCTCGTTTTTGAAAGCCCGGAACGAACTGGCCCTCGATGCTTCGGATACTCTCCTTCGCTGCGAAGCTGTCTTTTCGGAAGCGCATCACTGCGTAGCCTCTCGACTTCCCATCCGGAAAGAAGGGCATATCCATGTGGAAGCCCGTCAGACCTTTCGACTCGAGGAAGTTGAGCAAGGTTTCCTCCTGACACTTCGCAGGGATGTTGCGCAAGAAGAATGCCACAAATTCTGCCTCCTGGTCCTTGGCCCTCAGTGGTCTCAGGGCCATGTGGCTCTAGGCCCCTAGGCCCTCAAATAATTACTCGATGCTAGAGATACCCTAAAACGGGCGCTTTGAGCCGAAACTATCGGACAAAACACTTCACCAAGCAAGCCCTAAAAGCATTGGCTTACTGCCTTCGGGTTCGGGATGGCTGAAGGTGTAGAGCTCGCAACAGATAGCACACCAAGCAAGAATGAAAGACTCAGGCACGCAAGCTGCGTGGGTATCCTCGACGAGCTGCCACACGATGGAGTTGTTTGGAACTCGGATGCCAACCTCGCGGCGTTTCCAGACCTGGCTGCACTCGACTTAGGATGTTTGGATCACTGGTTCGTTATGCTTTGCTGCTGATGGTAGACATGAGGCTTCGGTGCACCCCAACGCCAATCGAACGTGCCCGTTGAAACAGTCTGGTCTCAGTTCACCTGTATCCTCGCTCCAATTACTGTGCTACGGTAGCATGTCTGTTGGCATCACAGCCATGATGGGGATTCAATGCTAGCAGGAGAAGGCAACAACATTCTGTTCCAAGCCCCGTGGCAAAACTTTTCGGGGCTCCTCTTTCAGAACCCAAACTAGATCGCCAGGCGAGCTCCGTGCGCTGAGGCGGTGCCAATGCACAGTTTCGCTTATAAAACCGTGGTACTGTTCGCATTTTGCAACCAGTTTCTTCGGGTGGCCTCCTTCTGCCTGCCGCATGGGTTTTGGATTGGGCAGGGTCTTTTTTTTAGGGGAAATGTTGGAGTGGTGCCGGGACCTGGCGCTTGTCCTCTCTGCAGTCTTTCACTCTGTGGGGTCTTCGCTAACTTACTTCTTTCTTGGATCGCTACTCACGCATGCATTCAAATCCGCACTCTAGTATCAAGGCAAGATCTCCGCGGGAAAAACTCGCAGGTCGTTGCCGTCGAAGACAACAACTACAACCTCAACACAAGCGACAAGAAAAAGAACAACCTCAACTAGAATAATGAGGAGGGAGGCGGAGGAGGATGATGATGAGACTTTTCTCATCCCGTCAATGTAACCATGATGATCACCCTGGGCCGATGCTGCAACGAGCTTGAGCACCAATGCAGGTTCATCCCAGAAAAACACGAGGCACGAACTTTGCCACGATGCTCCGGTATAAATAAAACTCATCGCAAACGTGAGCATCTACAGCCACCATCAACCGGCAACCTGAAACGAAGCGTTGAAGTGACCGGCATTGTAACAGAGCCGCCCTTTACCCTAGCACCCTGAGAACAGCAACCCTCCCTGCGCCTTGCTTCGGCTCTTGTGGTCCATGACAATCCGCGGCACTTCGCCAGATGCCCGGAGTATGAAGGTGTACGGTCCTAGGGGGCTGTGGCTATCTGTAAACTTCTGCGAATACCAACCTGAGCACACACGTACCGCAGCCTCAGTGACACGACAGTAGCTGTTGTCACAAGTCTCCATGTTATATGTGTAAATGTACATGTCTTTATTCGCTCATCTGCATTTACTTGCTTTCTTATTTACGTGCATACATACACAGCTACTGCGACAGGCGGTGCCATTCGCCGCGCTGCTTCTGCAGCTACCTGCGGACATTGCTCCTGCTTCTGCTACTCCTACTACTCCTACT